TTTGTGGGGGGAGGGGGGGGCTCCCCACCGCCCCGCGGAGTAAGAGACACAAACACCCCAGCGCGGGCAGGCTCCCGGGTTAGCAGCTCAGCCTCTGGGCACGTGCTGCCTCCCCGGGGGGTGTCTGTGTGGGGGAGGGGGGTAGCTAACCCTGCTCTCCGCAGGCTGCGGGGCTCCGGCGCTGAGCTGCTGCTACCGACCTTGTGGGGGGAGGGGGGGGCTCCCCACCGCCCCGCGGAGTAAGAGACACAAACACCCCAGCGCGGGCAGGCTCCCGGGTTAGCAGCTCAGCCTCTGGGCACGTGCTGCCTCCCCGGGGGGTGTCTGTGTGGGGGAGGGGGGTAGCTAACCCTGCTCTCCGCAGGCTGCGGGGCTCCGGCGCTGAGCTGCTGCTACCGACCTGGAGACTCGGGCGCTGTCCCTGTCCCCACCGGATCCCGGCTGTGGTGGGTAGGGAGTGCCCGCAGGTGGGGGCGGGGTCTCCTTGCAGGAGAGCTGGGCTCCTTCCCCATAGCCTGCAGGGAGGGGGGGCTGTCTGCCCCCAGCACACACGTCCCTGGCTGGCAGGGACAGTCGTCTTGCCCCCCCAGTCCGCCCCGGCGAAGCGGTCACGAACCTAACTCTCCCCCCAACACCTCCCCTGGCGGCGGGGAGGAGGGGTGTTACCTGTGCTGTGGCCACAGACGCGCGGTCCCTAATCTACTGGGGGGAGGGGGTACTTGTGTGTGGGAGAGACGCTGACCTTAACCCCCAAACGTGTGTGTCTGAGCTGGGGGAGGGCGGCTCTGCTCCCATCCCCCAATGTGTGTGTGGAGGGGAGGGGACGCTGCCCCTCCCCCGCCTAGGTCTGAATATGGGCGTGTGCACGGGGCCCTGGAGAGGCGCAGCCTTTAACCCCCTCCACACACCTGTGTGCATGTGTGTGTGTGTGGGGGGGGGGGACTATATACCCCTAATCCACCCAGATGTGTGCGCTGGGGGAGGGTTTTTTTCCTCCTAATTCACCCACCTGTGTGTGTTGGGGGTGAGGCGCGCTTCCGCCTAGGTCTGAATATGGGCGTGTGCACGGGGCCCTGGAGAGGCGCAGCCTTTAACCCCCTCCACACACCTGTGTGCATGTGTGTGTGTGTGGGGGGGGGGGACTATATACCCCTAATCCACCCAGATGTGTGCGCTGGGGGAGGGTTTTTTTCCTCCTAATTCACCCACCTGTGTGTGTTGGGGGTGAGGCGCGCTTGACGGTACCCACCCCGTCTGTTATATGGGCGTGTGGGGGGCGCTGACCTTCACCCAGCCACCTGTATGTGGGGTGTATGAGACCTCCGTGTGTCTGTGCGTGCGGGGGGGGGGGGGCTGGCACG